GCAAAAAGTCCCCCACCGAATCCGACTCAGAACAAGTACCCTCGAGGGAAGCAAGAGTTTATCTCGGCGGGATGGTGGCGGTGCCGCCCAAAAGGGACAGACACCAGCCAATATTCTCTGCGGGGGCGGTGAAGAGCCGCTCGGAGGCGCTCCCGTTGCCCAAAGATCGGAAGGACATCTCGAGACCGACAGACGGACATCCAGGTCACTACAAGGGAAAAAGACTGAAAGGAAGAGAAAAAAGTTAAGCAGGGGTCCCTCTGGTGGGAAAATGTCCCGCTCGGGTGGAAAGAGAGTGCCGTCCGAAGATGGGGCCCCCTGCTCTTTATGCTGCTCTCCGAGCCGCCTTTGCTGTCCCGATTTACCGGAAGACCGAAGAGGTCCGCTATTATCCCTACAGGACAGAAATCTACAACGACGGGGCAGGGCGGAGCTGGTCTGGGAATCTGACATGTTGAATGACCGCAAAGGTGCCGCTGGACCTACAAGGGAAAAGGAAAGCCGAAACCGGATCACACTGTAGAGGAGGTACGGAGTACAGTACTTAGGGATCCGGGCAGCCCTCCCCCAACAATAAAGAGGCAGCTACCCCCTCGCTCCGGAACCAACCCCCAGCTTCTAAAGGCGAGCGCGCTATCCCGTTCCAGGGTAGCATTCTACCGACCGTATCGGACGTCATAGTAAGCCACCCCACCTCCTGTGGTCATTGGCGTTGTGGCCCACCTCTACCGGGCGAGTTTCCATATACATCAGGACTTCCACCCCCGTCGGGACTCATATCACTACACCATTCCCGTCTAACCTCCCCGTCCCAAACCATGCCGCGTCCACCTACCACCTTTTCCCCGCAGTCCACTCATCCGCCCACTCTTCAACAACGGTCCCGACGTCATTATGGTTCACCAACGCTGTTCGGGATCCTATTTTCATATCTGCGAGTACTCATGCAGTCCCCACAACGCGGACCATGTGCCCAGCGCTCTGAAGGCCATGCTCCGACTAGCCTTAGGAACTTGTACTATCACTTCCGTCACCATCACCGGCGTCTGGGTCATTCAGGACTCCCTCCTCTACAAACCCACGAAAGTCTAGCGTGGTTCCCGGAGCGTTTCGGGCATGCCGCACTACAACGATGTGAGGTACTGCACCACGAACGGGGCAAAAATTTCGGTCCGGTTTATCCGTCAGCGCCCAGACCACTTCAAAAATGCGCCAACTCTGTCATACTTGCATGACACTGATAAGAATGACAGCTTTCGCCTGAAGAAGGGTATCGGCGTTTAGGGGCACTGCAAATGTGACATCCTGCTACTTTCGTATAGAGGCTATGGGCTGTCCACTTGGGAGCCCAATGAGCGCGGCATGAGGATTGATGCAGAGAGCGGGTATGATTATTTGAAGTCGAGAGGGGATGTCAATGTTGGAAGGGGCGGTAGCCTCTGGGTTTATAGCAAATCGTTGGGAGGGACTGTGGCTATTTATTTTGGCAGGTGTTTCAACATTGCATCAACACACTCATCTTAGTAAACAACCTCACAAGTTTGTCAGATATGATCATGTTAGAGCTCTCGATCTTTGGCGTGTTTTGATATTGGAGTAGGAACGAGTGGCATAGTAAGAAAAGAGTAGGGGATCTTTCTGTTCCACTATTGTTTGAGTGGTTTGAAGGATAGCTACGTCCCTCGCGACCATGATGAAGCAGATGCATCAACTTGTGTGAAAATGTTCTCTCAAAGCGTTTATGGAGTTTGAAAAGGGTACGCTCGTCCTCTTCTCGTCGGCCACCCACCCCCGCCGTCGCAGTGCGTGCCCATTCTAAATCGCCTCATCCCTCCGCCCCCGTCTCTTCCCCCGCTGTCCCGCGACCCTTCCTCCCCTGTGCTCCCTCTCACTACGTCTGTGATGCAATTGCGGCTCTAGCACGGTCCCAATTCCAAATATGTTCTACAAGATCAATCCGCAATTGACTATATGCGACCTCATCCTCTGATTCCAATTTACGAGCAGAAGCGCGTGCAGACCATGTCCCAGCAGGCGATCTATTGATAATTAAAGCTGACGAGCCCTCAAAGCTGAAAAAACTTGCCATGATTGCTAAAGAACTCCGAATGTGTGCTCGAAGTCCTTCCGCACTGCCTCTTTCTGGGCAGAGAAAGCCCTCATTTACGCGCTCGTGCCACCTTTTGCGGACTTGACAAAAACTGCCCACGATGGGTGAATACCATCAACAAGGTAGTATAGCAATGTTCGCGTTCGGCCATTTATAGTGAATGGTATACGAGGCGGAAACTCACCGCTCAGCAGTCTAGATATAGTCCTGGAGTTATCTGCTACATTGAGATCTTTCATCTATCCTGGGTTTCCAACCGACAACTGCCAAATACACAACTCACCATAAGGAATTGCCTCCATGACGACTGTTGGATTCTTCTCCTTACCTTTAAATTGCCCAGCCCAAGCGACGGGGCAGTTCTTCCATTCCCAATGCTGACAGTCTAGACTGCCCAAGCAACCGGGAAATCCTCTTGACTCATTGATAGACAGGATTCGACGTAAGTCTTCTTCACCCGGCTCGCGCAGGTACTCATCGCCAGAGACATCCAGGACTGCAGCGCAAAACATTTTTAACGTTTTTTATGGATGTCTCGATTGCGTTGACGACCTCGTCTACCGCGTCTGATGAGTAGCTCTACGATAGCACGGGCAAAGCGCCGAAAATGCGCTGGAGAGGGTATATCCCGCTCTTCCGTACAGCAACAACTTTGCCGATAAACTCCGGCCGCACACTCAGCGCGGAGTAAAGCCTGTCGAAAACACGTCGCGGTATTCCAAAACGTCTCGAGAAGTCAGTGTTGTTGTGTGGCATGCCACCGACGCCAAAGACGGCAAAGTAGTGCTTTCGTAGTTTCAGCAAGGTGCCGTCGAAGTGGCGCCTCTTATTGGGAGATTTCCCCGGTTCAGACCCTCCATGACGTCGCGAATTGAGATCTTTTTCCTCAGCTTTCGCTTCCGTCTGGCATATCAGAAAAGTGCTCGTCATCGTCGCCGTCCAAAGGAAATTCGAAGGACTCCACGTTCGTCGCAAGGGCTGGTCCCTCCGCTACAGCACGTTGCAGCTCCTCAAGGCCGTCGAGCTGGTCTAGAGGCTCCATGGCGAGAAATACAACCTACCTGCGCGGTGGTGTTCCGTCGACGAATTGCAACGACGTAAATGCGATACTTTCCAGTAGGTATGTGGATCATTTGCGGCTTGCGTTGGAGGTAATGGCAAAAATCCGGAAGATCAGGTATTTTCTCATTTTACTAAATCACTTCGCCAAACCCCACCCAACCCGGCAATTACACAACACGTGCTCAGACTGCAGCTCTCCCTTAACAAGTACCAATATTTTTGCAGATGAACCTAGACTCTCTCTGCATTTTTACTCACACAGAAACGCTCTCCTCCTCCTCGTCTTCGAACAGAACCGCTCGTTCAGCTTCCTGCTCACCACGAACACTGCGCGGCATCACTCTCTGACGTCGCTGACGATAAGACGCTTGAGCGCGCTTTCGCTTCTTGACGGCAGTGTCTACAATGTCGAACAATCGCTTCAAATACCGCTCATAAGTACGACCATCGGCATCTCGTAGCAGATGCCACTTGATGTGTAGGTTGGTAAAAGTTATTGTGAGACGGAAAGTGCTATCGTACCTGTCCTCCTTCCAAGGAAAATTATTCGAAACAACTGCCTATGGTCCTCCCTGACGCCCAAAAAATTCTCGACTATCACCCTGTCCGACGCTTTTTTCGTTCTCTTTTCGATCCGGTATGCTTAAAACTCCGCCGCGAGGGGTTTTCCTTGGTATTATAGCCCTCAAATCAGCCTCCATTCCCGTATACCCTTTATCAAGAAGGACTGCCCAGCTATTTGGAAACCTGTCGGAAAATGGGCCGATATCTGTGATCGCCTTTTCGCTTTCTGTCTTCTCTAAAGCATCGTCGTGGAACGCCATCATGTCCCTTATGATTTAAATATCGGCGATAGAGTCAGGGCGATGTAAACTTGGGCATATTGCCCGTCCGTTTGGGAGAACGGAGACTTCTACCTTAAAACCGTATAGCTTATGTTTCCCAGAGAAATATTTCTTGGCCTCTTCCAGCGTACCCTCAGGGCCAAAGCTCTGCTGAAACGTCACGTCAGTGGCGTATCTGCACAGCTTTTAATGTTTAAAATTGCTTTGTCTGCAATAGGGCGGTCCATCGTATATCGATCCGCATAATTTGTGACGAAGCGATTGAACGAGAACTCCGAAATTGTTTTTATCAAAACCCTCTTCTCGAATGTCGCCGGTTTGATGCCAAACAAATGCGCCATTAGATCCCACTTGGCCCCGTGTTCCAACACTGCCATGGTCATGAACAAGAGATCTTTGGGCTTGATAAGGAATTTGGAACCTCTTCCCGTGTTGTAGCGCTGGGAGATGTGAGATCTCAACTGGTTCCAAATCCCGTTGAACCGGACGAGACTGAAATTGGTCATTTGGTGAATGGATTGATTTCCGTCTTCTTCGAAAAAGCGGTCAATTGAGGGCATTCGCTTTCGAGATCCTCGTCACTGTCGCAAAGGTCGGGAGCCTCGTCATACTGATTTAAGGTTTCGTTTCGTGCAGCGGCATGCTCTTCGAGCAGTTCGAGAGCGGCTGCGGTGGTTGGTAGATTGATACGAGGAGGCATACTGGTGATTGAGAAATGTGAAAGGGGTTGGTCGTGGCGATGAGTTAGTAGACAACGTAATAAGGTATCGGTTGGTGTTGTTTCAGGGTGATGTTGAATGCGAAAGGCGGCAAAATGGCGGGCAAATTGATGGATATTGTGAGAATCGTTTCTGTTTGCGAAGACATGGCGCGCAATTCGGGGAGAGTTGATCTTTTACGAAGATTACAGTGAACGGTGAATTTGCACAGTTGCCCCTGTGCGCGACAATAGTGGCAATAAATCGTGATGAGTAAATGAAATATTACAATATTTTTGGGGTCTTGTACAACGTGGCAGCAGCTGTGCAACATCTGCAGAAGGGGTATGTTTCTACGCAGAGAATAGGTATACAGTATTCGAGGGATGCCGCTAGCTGCTCCCTCCGCCTAGTACAGGGTGCCCAAACATAAAAACCAATTAGGATTGGGACACGTGTCCCCGAAATAACAACATTCAGGCTGCGCGATGGAGATGCTCTAACCTCATCTTCGGGGAAGGGGCTCCTCGTCCGTACGGGTTTGATTGTTACCCAAGGGTACTTTTCCCCCGTTTCTCTTCGGGCATCCGACTTTGTTCCCAACCTTGCACCTCCCGCCTTCTCCTCTGATCGCCCGATGCACGACACATGCCGTACATTCGTCTCAAGTGTACAATAGTACCGTATCGTACTGTGCCTTTTCATGCTCCCTTCGTGCATTCCCGAGGTTGAGCTGCCCACGTCCGGATGCAGTTGTCGCCTGTACTGGTTGTCAATTACCGCATCTCGTAGTCGCACAGAATCTTCCTCAAGTGTACCCACCAGCCCTGGCCGAGGTCACCATCCATCTCGGCAGCGAGCGGGCTGCAGCCTACGTCTTCATTTGTAGACGCAACCTGCTAGTTCATTTTGTTCCGCCCTGCCTTTACCGTTCGGACCAACCATCAACTGCTGCCTTTCGCCAAATGCTGCAGCGCACTGATAGGAAAGAGGACGAGCTGTCTACATAGCTGTACTTCTACCATACGGCAGACTATTTGACCTCAATCCATAACACATCATCTAACCAGCTTTTGAGACTGCTCGGGTTCAAAAACGGGACCCACCGGCTCACGGACCGCAACATTTCATCCAGCTTTCCTTTCCGTTCCTCGAGAAGGCCCACATTGGCTTCCGAAAGATGCACCCCTTTGACGTTTTGCGGGGAAAACGCATTTGCTGCCGTACCCCGTAGCCCCGATGAGACCGACTCCAACCTACAGTTATATTTACAAATCGTCGCAATCAGGATTTGGAGGCGCTCGAAACTCGAGTCGGCCTGTCCGCTCAAAGAGACTCCGAAATGCTTCAACCGATTTCCAAGATGCCTCAAGACATCGACAACCCCTTCTGTCGGAATGCGCACATCTAAAAGCTCCAAACTTTCCAATGCTGGCGTCTGTCGCACAAGCTGCATGACTGACTCAACCGTTTCCTCATGGAACTCTGGGAAGACGGCCACATATTTGCTGATGTTCCCATTTTGAACTGTCTTGATATATCTGCACTTTAAGAAATTCGTTCCTTGCAGGTCACAAACCCATCTGAGACTCATGTACTTTAGTACCGGCATGAAGTGCACTGCATGATTGAGCGCACGAAGGTCGCGGTCGTCAGGCCTTAAGCTTAGCCGCAAGTCAGATAATCCGACGCATTTTGAAAGCGCGCGTATACTGGAATCGTCGCCACTGCGTTGGAATCGATCTGATATGCTCGTGACGACGGGACCGAGAAGCGCAGCATGCTCTAACATATCCTTAATCCGAACCGACTCCAGAGCTTTCAAACGATCAAGCACGCGAGGCTCGATGCCGCAACTGCGGAAATAGTATCCTTGGAGAGTGGCCGTGCGAATATTCGGCAGCGTTTCCCAGATCCTCCAAAAAGGGCTGAACTTGCTTCCTCCACTACAACGGGACGAACATTTGCGGAGCGAGCCAAACTCGATGAGGTGTGGGCAGGAGCGGGCAAGCGTGAGCCCCGCCTCGTCTTGCAGGCGTTGCATTCGTTGGAAGATGCATTCGCGACACTTGTTATAGTGCTGGAGCCCTTGGTTGCATACAATGTCGAGCTTGCGCAACGACATAGAACCGATGCGCAAGAACGCGGGGAGTCCATCGTTCTTCGGATAGTTTTTCATGTGGAATTGGACTTCGAGCTCGCGCAGCGTTCGGGACTGGAGGGCGTGCTTAATCAAGGTGAACATATCCGGGATGACGGCAGTTTGCAAGAGCGGACTGGAGAGAATGCGAATCGCGCTGATGCGGACGGCACGAGAAAGGTAGGGCCAGTCCTGTAGACAAAGAACGAGGTGTTTCGTGGTATCCGAGTCAGCAAAAGCGACAGCCCAGCTGTCGTTGTCTTGATGTTCGAAGCTCTGGTAGCGGGATTGGCGCAGCCCGGTCACGGCGCGGGCAAAGAAAGGGGAGAGTTCGGCGAGCTGAAGGGGGGGAATGCCGCCGCTGTGCAATGTAAGCAAGGCGACGACGCGGGTCAGAATTTCTTGCGGAAGGACGTCGAACCATAGCTTTGGGCCCGACGGAAATTCCTTCAGGACGGGCGAGTTCTTCTTGCGGCGCTTGACGGGCAAGGATAAGAATTCTGGTTCCATCCTTGGATCGGCGAAAGACGGGGGGAGACGGGAAGATAAGGTGATGTGCGCAGATACGGAAACCGCACGGCATCGAAGGGGATGAACACTGGCGGCTTCGGGGAAACCAAGCGCAATGTGAGGTGTCCTTGTAAATACTGTACTGTACCAAGGGTACAGTACCAAGGGTACAGTAGATGCACACGTGTGAAGGTTACAGCGCATCACGGGGGCACGTGTAAAGGTTACACCTCCGATTGATCCCAACAATTTACCGGGGCGCCGGGGCGCATGAGCGGCTTGCAACTCTCTGCCGATCATATGCGGCTTTGGGCAGATGCACGATTTCCTCGTTACAGGCCGAGGGGGTTGCTCAAGAGAGCGGCGCAAAGATAAGTTGCAACAGTAAACGCAAACAACTTTATTCGATGGAGCCTACGAACGAGTAGTCGTTCTCCCCTGCCTTCTGGTGACACCGACCTACCTTCTTGAAGCAAACGAGTAGAGGCGCGCGAGCGAGGCGCAGATGGCCAGGTCCGCGGATTTGTATTTTCGTCTTTGACGAACACAGTAAAAAGATACCCGATGAGACTTAGGTGCCGGCTGAGAGGGACGCCCGAAGACTCGCTCACATCTGCAAATTGCACCGGCCGCATGCATTGCTGACAATGCGCGTGTGGAATGCGATGTTGTGTCCGCTGAGCACAAAAAACATTCCCATCGGTAGTAAACCTTGTTCAATGTCTCGAGATAAACCAATTCTCAATGGCGTCACAACTCTCGATCGGGGCCGCTGTGCAACTTCTTACTTCGTCTGTCACATCGCCACAGAGAACTGTGCCTTTCGCAACGCGCTTGCGCTCTTCTTCTCGCAAAGACGTCCATGTACGCCCCTTGCAATGCTCGATGTGCTTTTCACCCAACACGCGCTCCTATTCCCTGCAACATCTCTCAAACGACACCTTTCCTCTCTCCGGTCTCCCGACGCCTTTCTCCCCTCGCAAACCTATTCGCGGTCCCACAAAGGCGTTTTCTTCGGCGCCCCCCGGCAACCTCGGAAACGCCCGTGCCGTTGCCTTCACCTTTCTTACGGCCACAATACACTTTTTCCTTCCGTCAACCTCTTCCGCCTCTTCCCCCTGCCCCTGCATCCACCCCCACGGCCACGCCTCGCGCACGCCTTCCAGCTTCCCGCCCAGCCTTCTGATAGCTCCCTTCGCGGCGGCCACCTCCTCCGCGCCCACGCCCACGCTCTTTTGCGTGAAAAACGCGTCCCCCCACCTTTGCCAGCAGCACGCACAGTTCGCAGCAAACGCGCATTTCCGCCAACGACCGTGCCACGACCGCGTCATACCGTCCCCGATGCATCTTACCCTGCCCGACCTTCCCCGCCCTCCCCCACACGGACGCGCCGTTGGGCAGGGTCAGCTCGCGCCCCACGAGGTCATGGAAGCGCGTCTTCTTGCGCGCGGCCTCGAGCAGCGTGACCTCCCACTGCGGCCTCGTCATGGCCAGGACGAGCCCCGGGAACCTCGCACCCGTGCCGAGGTCAACGACGCGCACCGCGCGGGGGCGCGACAGCGGCCTCCCCCTCCAGCGCCAGTAGCCGGCGCAGCGCGTCCTCAACGGTCTTGAGGAACACGGCGTGCTGATCGCCGTGAGGTTGGACCGCTTGCTCTCGCTGAAAAACAGATCCGTCAGGCGCACGGGGCCGTTGAGCCGCGCCACGTCCAGGCGCTGCGAGTCGGCGGCGCGGCGCAGCACTGCGAGCGCGGGGGCGATGCTTCGTTGGGTAACGCAAGCGCGCAGCGCCACGCGCCCATGCGGCGGCGCGCGGCATGTGGGTCGCAGCACGTGACGCGCGCACCGAGTCGGCAGCGAGACGGCAAAAGGGATGCGGCAGGCGGTGAGCCACGGAGCCCTGCAGATGAAGATGGTGCGTTGGGGGCGGCGGGCGTGGAATGTAGGAAATATTTGCAATGAGACCGAGAAGAATCTGTGGGAGGGGACCCGATTTTGGCGGGCGTCGGCGGGCGTGTTGCCACGCGGTGTGAACGCGGTGTGAAGGATCTTATGTTGCTGTTCCCCACTTGAGGCCGCTGCGGCCACGGTCACGAGGCGAGTGGCAAGCCGGTGCGGCGGAGCTGTCGGAGGCGGAGCTGTCGGAGGCGGAGCTGTCGGAGGCCGACTGAGGGATGGGCTAAACTGGGCGACCGATGGATTCGGGTAAGGAAAGTCGGCTACTCTGCCTGGAAACAGAGTATCGCTAGAGTACATTTATGTTACCCGGACCGAGGGTGCTGGAGGTACAAGTGTACTCCTGATGTTTCAAATCCTTCATGCAAACGCAACTTTATGAAATTGAACAATGGTTGGTGAATTACCACACCTTGGGAGTCCGTATGATACTTCACTACTTCAACTACTACAACGGCGTGAACGTGCCCTAACCCCCTTTCTGTGCAAGACGCCCCTCGTCAGTATCGAGTTTGATTGGTACCTTTCCCCCGTTTCTCTTTGGGCATCCGACCTTCTTCCCAATCTTGCCATCATCACACCTCCCGCCTCCTCCTCTGATCGCCCGATGCACGGCACATGCCGTACATTCGTCTCAAGTGTACAATAGTACCGTACCGTTCTGTGCTTTTACATGCTCCCTTGGTGCATTCCCGAGGTTGAGCTGCCCACGTCCGAATGCTGTAGTCACCTGTACTGGGTGTCAATTACCGCATCTCCTAGTCGTACAGAATCTTCCTTAAGTGTACCCACTGGTTCTGGCCGAGGTCACCATCCATCTCGGCAGCGAGCGGGCTGCAGCCTACGACTTCATTTGTAGACGCAACCTGCTAGTTCATTTGTGCCGCCCTGCCTTTACCCTTCGGACCAACCATCAACTGCTGCCTTTCGCCAAATGCTGCAGCGCACTGATGGGAAAGAGGACGAGCTGTCTACATAGCTGTACTTCTACCATACATGTACAGCAGACTATTTGACCTCAATCCATGACACATCATCTAACCAGCTTTTGAGACTGCTCGGGTTCAAAAACGGGACCCACCGGCTCACGGACCGCAACATTTCATCCAGCTTTCCTTTCCGTTCTTCGAGAAGGCCCACATTGGCTTCCGAAAGATGCACCCTTTTGACATTTTGCAGGGAAAACGCATTTGCTGCCGTACCCCATAGCCCCGATGAGACCGACTCCAACCTACAGTTATATTTACAAATCGTCGCAATCAGGATTTGGAGGCGCTCGAAACTCGAGTCGGCCTGTCCGCTCAAAGAGACTCCGAAATGCTTCAACCGATTTCCAAGATGCCTCAAGACATCGACAACCCCTTCTGTCGGAATGCGCACATCTAAAAGCTCCAAACTTTCCAATGCTGGCGTCTGTCGCACAAGCTGCATGACTGACTCAACCGTTTCCACATGGAACTCTGGGAAGACGGCCACATATGTGCTGATGTTCCCATTTTGAACTGTCTTGATATATCTGCACTTTAAGAAATTCGTTCCTTGCAGGTCACAAGCCCATCTGAGACTCAAGTACTTTAGTACCGGCATGAAGTGCACTGCATGATTGAGCGCACGAAGGCCGCGGTCGTCAGGCCTTAAGCTTAGCCGCAAGTCAGATAATCCGACGCATTTTGAAAGCGCGCGTATACTGGGCTCGTCGCCACTGCGTTGGAATCGATCTGATATGCTCGTGACGACGGGACCGAGAAGCGCAGCATGCTCTAACATATCCTTAATCCGAACCGACTCCAAAGCTTTCAAACGATCAAGCACGCGAGGCTCGATGCTGGAACCTCGGAAATAGTATGGTTGGAGCGTGGCCATGCGAATATTCAGCAGCGTTTCCCAGATCCTCCAAAAAAGGGCTGAACTTGCTTCCTCCACTACAACGGGACGAACATTTGCGGAGCGAGCCAAACTCGATGAGGTGTGGGCAGGAGCGGGCAAGCGTGAGCCCCGCCTCGTCTTGCAGGCGTTACATTCGTTGGAAGATGCATTCGCGACACTTGTTATAGTGCTGGAGCCCTTGGTTGCATACAATGTCGAGCTTGCGCAACGACATAGAACCGATGCGCAAGAACGCGGGGAGTCCATCGTTCTTCGGATAGTTCTTCATGTAGAATTGGATTTCGAGCTCACATAGCGTTCGGGACTGAAGGGCGTGTTTAATCAAGATGAACATATCAGGGATGACGGCAGTTTGCAAGAGCGGACTGGAGAGAATGCGAATCGCGCTGATGCGGACGGCACGAGAAAGGTAGGGCCAGTCCTGTAGACAAAGAACGAGGTGTTTCGTGGTATCCGAGTCAGCAAAGGCGACAGCCCAGCTGTCGTTGTCGT